TCCTCTGCCACCCTGGGGCAAACCTGCCCCTGCCCCAACCCCTGCCTCTCCCCCCCCAGCTTGGGGGGGTGCGAGTACCTCTGGGATAGCCCCTGCCTGGACCCCCTCCCCTGAATGAACCCAATGCCCCCAGTCAGGGGTTCCTCCTCCCCCCAGCACCACCACACCACAGGGCCAGCCCCCAGCCAGGCAGAGCATGGGTTTTCTGGGGGTGACAAACTGCCACGCTAGGGACACCCCAAAAGGACACCCCTTGCCCCTTCCTACCCCACACAGCAGCTCAAGCAGGCGTGCAGGCATGGGGTGCCTGGTGCTGCTGCAATGGGGCCAGGACTTGGGGGGGGGGGGCACAGAGAGCAGGGGAGGCTGTGGGGTGGGACTGGGAGCCCAGAGCAGGGTCCTCCTGGGGCTCAGGGCATCACCTGGGCCATCCCTGAGCCAGGTGGTCTGCGGGGGTCCCCAAGCACAGTCCCACTCCATGGGACATGGAGATGGAGGATGCCCGTCCCCCGTCCCCCGTCCCGACCTGCCCCGAGAGCAACCTCTGGCTTGGGGTGCTGCCAGTCCCTGGGGCACTCCGCTGCCCACCCGCCCCGTCGTGCCACACCGTGGGACGGGGAAAAACAGGAAGCCCTGTGCCCTCTCTGTGGCCAAGGGCCGGCCAGGAATGTGCCGAAGCAGCTGGTTCCTGCCAGGAGGAGCCAGGATCAACACGTCCGAGAATAGCGCGTGAGCTCATCGCCACATCCCGCGGGAGCCTCCAGCACCCCCGGGCGTGCAGGGGTGCACAGCCCCGGGACCCCCCTTGCAGGGCACCCTCATCCCAGCCTTATGCCCCAGCCGGGCTCAGGGCACACGCTGGAGCCTCTCCTGGGGTGGGGGTCCCTGGCCAGCCTCAACATGGGGGCCACAGAAAGCCCTGGGGAAGGGCAGGGCTGGGGCCAGCAGTGGAGCCCGTGACTCATTCGTGTCTCGACGTTTTGGAACTCAATTACCCAAGTGTGAGGCCAGGAGCACCCCTGAGCCCCCCCCCCAAGGCAGATGCCGGCAGGGGTGCAGGGCGGGCGGGTGCTGGGTCCCACTCCCAGCTCTGCCTCTGCTCCTGGGGGCAGCAGGAAGAGGGCAGCGGGGGGGTCCGGTGGGCTCTCCCACCCCTGGGACCCGCCAGCCTTAACCCGCAGTAGTGGGGGCACTGCGTCCCGCTGCTCAGCGTGACCGTGGTAGGCTGGAGGTGCCCCCCCTCGCTGTCATCCCCCCTCGCTGCCACCCCTCGGGGCTCACTGGGTGCCGGCACCTGCAGCCCCCAGCAGCCAACAACGACAGCAGCTAAAAATACCGTGCCGGCAGCAGGGCAGCCCCGTGCGCGGGAAGCTGTGGGCAGCGGAGGGGGGGCGTGCGGGGCTATTCTCAGAGGGCTGCGGGACTATTCCTGGCCGGTCAATATTGATTCAGCCAGCTCAGGTGCAACAGCTCAGCCTGGCAGCACCGTATTTAGGGCTCGGTGGGAGGCGAGGCGGGTGGCTGAATCGGGAGCATTGTCCGAGGGAGGAAGAGGGCAGGGAGAGGATGTGAGCTCTGTAATCTTCAGCGAGCGGCTCCCGGCAGCAGCCCGGGAGAGGGGCACACCCCGGGCCTGCCGCCGGCGGAGGGGTGGCCAGCCAGAGCCGCTGGGCTGCACGGAGCGTCTGCCCTGGGGACGGAGGAAGGGGGCCAGAACACGTGCCGGCAGCTCCTGGCAGGATTTGGGGGGGTGTGGGGCACAGGGGGGCAGCTGCCAGTCCTGGCTCCGGCAGTCTCTGAGCTGCTGGGTGACTGGCTGCTGTACGCACGGACACCGAGGGCTCCAGGTAGCAAAGCAGGTCTCGGGCAGCTCCCTGGTTCCCCGCTTGTTCTAGGCACCTTGGAGCGGTCCAGGAGAGCCCGGGGCTGGGTGGCTCCAGCCAAATAGCTCTGCATGCTCCTGAGCCCGCATCAGAAAGCAGAGGAGAGGGCGAGAGGCTGGTTGCCCCCATTCACTGCTCTGGGACATGCCTGTCCCCTCTGGCAGCTCCCCCAGGGCTGCATCACCAGCCACAGTGCAGCCCCCCCACGCCAGCACGTTGGGAGCTGCACGAAGAGCTGAAAAACCACAGCGAGAGTGCTCAAAGTCAGACACCGCGCCAGGGTTTATTTCCATAGGCGCAGGCAGGGGCTGAGCAAGACTCGTCATGGCTGCCCCGTGCCCAGGAGCCACCCGGGCAAGGCTGGGCTGCGGCAGGCTGGGAGCAGCCCGGTGTGCAAGGTGACAATAGCAACTGGGAGCACAAGGGACCCTGCAGCCTGCACACCCCAGCTCTTAGGGGATACTGCTGCCCTGTGGTGCCTGGGAAGCAAGTTGGGGATGGGCAGGGCTCTGCATGGGATCAACACTGCTCGCTGCAGCCACAACCCTGCATAGGTGAAGTCGGTGTCACCACTGCCATCACAGGCGCCTGAAGTCCTGGAGGGCCACCCGGGCAGCATTACGTCCTGCTGCTCCCATCACTCCTCCTCCTGCAAGAGACCAGAAATGGGGGGTGGTGGGCAGCTCCAGCCCCAGGAGATTGGGGCCCAGGGCTGCATCAGCGGAGCTGCCCCACGTCCCTGCCCATGCGAGGGCAGAGAGGGGAGTGGACACTCCCCCGCCCCATGCTGCCCTTGCACCTCTTCCACATGCCCCTGCCCTCCTCCTGCAGCCCCCCAGGAGGGTTCTGGCTCCCAGCCCTGCTCACCAGGGTGAGCTCCACTTCCACACAGGTACAAGCCCGGAACTGGGGACCGGTAGCCTGAGTAGGATGGTACCGGCCGGGCAAAGTACAGCTGGTCCAGAGACATCCCTCCGTGGAAGATGTTCTGCAAGCAGAGCTCTGTGTAAGCTGGCTGTGCCTGGCCCAGGGCTGTGTGCCCACCAGTGCTGGCACCAGAGTGATGCTCAGAGCTGAGCCTGCATGGTACCCACCCCCCCGGGCAGCCCGAAGATCCTCTCCAGGTCTGGTGGTGTCAGGATGTCCCTGCCGATGACGGATGCCTTGAATCCCGGGGCATAGGCTTCTATGCAGTCAAACACTAGAGGAGGATGGAGGGACTGGCCGGCAGGTTGGGGGGACATGTTGCCTGCCCCCTGAGCACCTCCAGGGTGGCTCTGCCCACAGGCAGGGACCAGCACTCCTGGTGTTACCTGCGTCTGTGTATGCGTTACGTACCCATGTCCACATATGCATTACATACCCGTGTCTGCGTATGCATTTCTGGCCTGCTCGTCCCAGGGCCGCCCACCCGCCAGCACAGAGGGGGTATACTGGGTGAAGAGGGACACGACGTGGCAGCCCCTTGGGGCCAGCCCTGGGTCCAGCGCCGAGGGGATGCAGAGCTCGATCATGGGCCTGGGGGAGCAGGGCATCAGCTGGGCAGGCAGAGGGGAGACCCAGCTACCCCAGACCTCTTCCGCCAGCACCACCCGCCATGGCTGCCCTACCCTTTCCCCAGGGCACTGAGCTGTGCCAGTGCAGGCTCCTACCTGCTGGAGGGGTGCCCGTGGGTGGCCTCAGTGAAAGCCTGGTGCAGGAGGTGGGTGCCCTCGCAGTTGAGATGGATGGAGCACTGGTGGTGGGGCAGGGGCTGGCCATCACGGGCATTGGGGGCAGCCAGGAAGCTGGGCAGCCGATCCACCGCCACTGGGCACAGGAGGGGGGGACAGGGGAAGCAGGGTGCAGCCTCTTGCTGAGCCCGGTGCCAGCGTCCCTCCAGCAGGGATGGCGATGGAGGTGGCCCCACCAGTACCTACCGTTGATCTTGGTGACAGGGGACCGTGTGTCAACCTGCTGGATCTGCTGGACAAAATCCTTCGGCAGCTGCTCCTGGGGTGGGAGATGCCGGTGCAGAGGCTGGCTGTGAGGGGGCACTGCGGCTGGGGGCACGCTGCCACACCAAGTCCCTACCAGCCCCACGTGCCCTGTACCTGGGGGATGAGCTCCAGGAAGGTGATTTGGGGGGAGGCGTTGGACAGCACCAGTTTGCTCCTCACCTCCGTCCCATCCTGCAGTGTGACGCCCTGTGCCTGACCGTCCCTGCCCAGCAGCACGTGGCACACCGCCTGGGCAAGCGGAG